ATAAAATAACACAGTGGGTATTTGTGGGTATTTGTCCTGTTTGTTTATCATATACTGCTTTCAGGGGGCTCTTCATCTTGTGTTGGACGACAGGCTGGGTACCTCTCTTCTGAGCAGAGAGGATCAGATCCTCCCTCCTTGCCATCCCATGCCCTGACACCCAGGTGAGAGCATGGGACTTGAGCTTAGCCAATGTGGGGTGTGGGGAGCATGGGTGACTCAGTAAGTTAAACATCTGCCTCCAGCTCAGGTCATGATTCCAGGATGCTGGGATGGAGCCCCTGCTTCTCCCTCTCCCTCTGCTGCTGCTCCCCCGCCCCCGACTTGTAATATCTCTCTCTGTCAAATAAATAAATAAAATCTTTATTTAAAAAAAATGTGGTGTGCATGAGGCCCAGAAGCTAAATGGTTAGGATTCATTTGTGGTCACATGGGCCTTGGAGGCAGATGTGAAGTGCAGGGGAGGGGGCGTTATCTCAGCCTGGTCATCCCTGTAAGGGACTGTGGGAGGACATGATATGTAACAAGGAATTATATTTGGTTTCCATCCCCAAGTTCGGATACAGAACTCCTGAAACCCTTGGCATATTCTAAGTGATGCCATGAGAATGAGGGAGCGATGAGAATATTTCTTGTTGTAACGTCTGGGTTTAGTCCTTAGATTTTTGTTGTTGTTGCTTTTAAGATTTTATTTGCTTTTTTGTGAGAGAGAGAGAGCAGGAGTGGTATGAGGGGCAGAGGAAGAAGCAGGCTCCCCGCTGAGTAGGGAGCCCAATGCGGGACTCAATCCCAGGACCCCGGAATCATGACCTAAGCTGAAGGTAGACGCGTAATGGACTCAGCCACTCAGGTGCCCTTGTCCTTAGTTCTTGAAAGACCCCTAGAGCCAGAGAGGTGAAAAGAGTGTCCTTTTAACTGCACTGGAGTTTTTGTTAATGAGGGGACTCATGGAAAGGGAAAGCCCACTCTGTGATGAGAAGGTTGGAACTTTCAGCCCCGCCCCTGCCTTGGGAGGTGGGGGGAAAGGCCTGGAGATTGAGTCAATGGCAGATAGCTAATGATTTAATCAATCATGTCTATGTAATGAGCCTCCATAACAACCCTACCTGAAGGGGTTCAGAATGCTTCTGGGTTTGTGCACACACGGTAATTCTGGGAGGGTGACACACCTGGAGAGGGCATGTGAGTTCTGTACCCCTTCCTCCCACGTTGCCTTATGTACCCCTTAATTGGCAGGTGAAAGCAAGTAAATGCTTCCCTGAGTCTTGTGAACCATTCTATCAAACTAGTGACTCGGAGGAGGGGGTTGTGGGCAATTCCCAATGTACAGCCGGTAGGTGAGAAGTATGCGTAATAATCGGGACTTGTAGTTGGCATGGGAAGCAGAGACAGTCTGCGAGACGGAACGCTTCCCTTCCGGGGTCTGACACTGTCCTTGGCTCGATGGTGTCCAAATTAAGGGAGATTGTAGGACACCCAGCTGGTGCCCGCAGAGAACGGGAGGGCTGTTTGGTGTGGAAAAATCACACATCTGGTGTCAGAAGTATTTTGGGGGTATATTGTGAGTAAAAACCTAGCACCCCACGGAGTCTGTCTCAGACAAGCCATTTAATTCACAGGGTCTTGCATCCCACTCTTTGTTTTCTGGAGCTGCCTTAGTTCTGCCTGTTTTCTCCCTTGGGTCTCTACCGCCCACCAATTCTGTGAACTCCTTACAGCAACACTGTTTCCTGTTGCTTAGACCGAGAGCCCTGACTGGAAGGGGAGGAGGATGTATAGTTCATTTGGAGAGACAGAATCGACCCCTGAGGGCTCAGCAGTGTCCTAAAACAGCATGCCAACCAAAAAACTCTCCCCTCCCCACATTTCCACACGCCCCTGAGAGGCAGATGGGGCCCCTCCAGCTGAGAATCAAAGGGCCCCCATTTTGAAAGTGGGGCTGTTGCAGTGTCCACGCTGCAGAGCTATAAAGAGGATGATAAGACAGAGTGAAGGGAAAGGGCTTGGCGGACCATCATGCATCTTATAAACTTAAATTCAGGGCAGCTCAGGCCACAACAACTCACACCTGAATTTTTTTCTTTCCTATTCTAAAGCAGCTAATTTTTTTTTTTTGTTTTTTTTGTTTTGTTTTGTTTTCCAGTGAGGGGTCAGTAGGTCTGTGGCGTGGAGGCAGAGCTTTGACAAGGCAGGCTTTTCCAGCCAGGTTTAATTATAACCCCCCATGCTTATCTTAAATGGAGGGTTGGGGGTAGAGTTGATGTTTCAGGCCTGACCTCCGGCGGTGGCCCACGCAGGCTGTGAATTTCTAGTGTGTGCTCTACACTGGCCATTGGCAGGAGTGCCTATGACCCGGGCTGAGAGGCTGAGGGACACAGCCCTGCGCCCTACAGAGCTGCCCAAAGGAGCCAGGGAGCTTTGAGGAGCTGCCAGAAAGCAGGTTTTCTCTCCTGTCAGAGGTTGCCATGGTGACAGAAGCAGGAGGGGACACCCGCTGGTCTGGACCTACATAGCTCATCTTTATTCCATGTCTTGGTCTGAGCTGGTGATGGGAGGGAGCTCCTGAGATGATGGAGGAATGACATGTTGCAGAGACTGGACCCTGGTGGGGGTGAACTGTGCTGGGACATTGTGTGTGTGTGTGTGTGTGTGTGTGTGTGTGTGTGTGTGTTTATACTGTTGCATGTGAGCTCTGGGTGTGCAGAGGGGGATGAAAATAAGGGAAGGGGGACGGTACCAGTGTTGTGCATGTCGATGGGATCTTCCTCAAATGCCTGTCCCCCCGCCCCCATGATCTACAACCCTCAGAGGACAGCTCACCTGCAGGGGCCGAATGCTGCCCCCGCAGAAGAACCCTTCATTTCCCACTTCCTGGAGGTCATCTATTTGCTGCCTGGATGCCTCCTCCCAGCAGGCATCAGAACAAGTCTGAGCTGGGAAGCAGGGTGGCTTGGGGGGCTGGCCTCAACCTGATGTCTTATCCTTGCTCCATAACCTCATGTTTGAACATGACCAGGTCTTTGAGCCAAACACCACCTCATTCTAGAACCTTCTGTGTTCTTTCTGAATGCAACCAATTGCTTCTTCCCCTAAGAAAATTTTTTTAGCACTTTTCTGCACCAACTAGTCTGGGTATTTGCCATTTCTCTCCTTGGGCCCCATGAGTTACATTAAGATGTAGCTGGTAGGTGGATGGGTGTCTTCAGCGTCCCTTCTGTGGGGCCTATCCCAGTGTCATTTCAGTATTTGGAAGGGACTGTGAGTCCTAGCTCCCTGCCCATCACCCTCACCCCAGGGATGCTCATGTGACCCAGACTAAGACATTCATTCTAGCCCTTACTCAGCCAATGGATGTGTGGAAGGCCAAGCAGGGCCAGTCTGTATATGTTCATGGGATTTAAATACAGGCATTTGAAGAAACAGGGTGGCTATTCAGCTGGAGTTTCCAGGGTGCATCTTTCTCAGCCTCACGGAGAAAATTCATTTGCACTGAGAAAGGAGTAAGACTTTAGGGAGGAGAACCAAAAGAGAGGCAGAGACAGAGAAATGTCAACATCCTCAGAGCCATTGGACCCAACAGTGTCCAAAGACAGAAATTCCCACTCCTATGCACTAATACATTCTCTCCTTTGCTTGAGCTAATTTAAGCTGCACTTCTGTCCCCTGTCAATAAAGGGGCCTGAGTCACCTCCCTGTACTGACTGTGGGATCTGTCTAGGCACAATCTGATTCCAATTCCTCCCCATACTTCTTATGGCTGCTGGTTTGGTACCACCAGTTCAATTTTAACACCTATTTTTGGTATAAATAAAAGAAATACATGAATGGCTATTTCCTCTCTGACTAAATACAGAAATAAAAATACAAATTCCTAGAATCAAGAGGAAGAGGGGAAGAAAACCATTTTCTAGTGGCTACCATGGGCGAGGCACTGTGCAAACGTCTAGTTGAACCCTTGAAATGGCCCTGAGGTAGGAAGAGTATCTAGAGTTTCCCTGCCTGACAGGTCATACACAGGTGAGCAAAGAAACTCCCATCTGAGCCCAAATTTTCCCAACTCCACCACTGTGACCACGTCCCCACTGGCCTCATTTGTAGAAAAGTAACAGGAACACATGCTTTATAGTGTTTCAGTGTTTTAAAGCCCAGGTTCTTAGGAATCCCAGGGGAAAATAATGCCATTTAAATAGTCCTTTGGTAATACTTCATTTTCCTATAAAATTGATCTGGGCAGTTGAGGAGGATGAGACCCAAACAGCTAGACTGATGTCCCCTTCTGTTGATACTGGTAAGCCAAACAGCATGAGGGCCTCTCTCCTAGGCTAGAGCCTGTCTCCCAGGGCAGGGCCTGGCAAGTGAGGGGACCTGAGCCTTAGGAAAGTTCTGCCATTCATGACTATGACACCCGCCTGGACAAGTCACATGACTTTCTGGAATGTGAGTGACGTGTCTGGTAGGGGAGACAGAACCGATTTCTTTTGACCGTGGTGTTGCTGTTGGGGGCCTGGTGGCTCCTAGGTCAGTTCCAGGGGCAGCTGGGATGCCCAGACCTGAGGCTGTAGGCACGGGAGGATGAGCTGATGGGCTGAGGCCCAGTTGGGGATCCCAGGAGGTGCAGGGAGGCTCAGTGGGCTGGGTTCCTAACTCCCCTGGACTTCCTGCTCCAGGCCACCCAGGCAGCCTCCCAGCCAGGGTCCCAGCCCCGATGCTGGTAAGCGGGAAGGAGACAGCCATTTTGGACAAACCCAGCCCAGGGTCGGAGAGAAAAGAGCCCCTAGTCTGAGAGTCAGCTCCAGGGACCCTGTCCCATCCTGAGCGACGGAGGTGACTCATTTCCCCTCTCAGGGCTTTTGCTTCTCCCCTGCAAAATGCGCAGTTTGGGCACAGCGGCCTCCACACTTCCTCCACCTTGACATGCGCAGAGTCTAGACCACAGCAGGTGGTGGGTGGTCGCCATGTCCATGAGCTATGAGAACAGGGGGGCAGAGGAACCCACTTACCCACACTCCCCCGGGGGGTCTCCCCGTGAAGCTCGGTTTCCGGTGTCCTGTGCTAATGGTTGTACCTCCACTTATCATTGAGAGCTGCTGTTTCCATACCTGGAATAATGAGAACAATCACAATGATTTTGAAATCACCCTCTACACAAAAGTTCACAAGTTTTTCCCCACACACTATGGTCTGGGCCAGAGAGCCCTTCCTGAGAGTTCAACCACAGACAAACTGCAAACCAGAGATGTCTCGAGACTGGCCTGGGGTCACACAGCTTTGTTAGTGGGGTTGTCTGGGCTCGGATTCCTCTTCTGACTCCATGTTGAGCTTTTACTGTCTATAATACCGGGAAGCCTTGCTTCATCTCACTGGGATACTGTGAGGCAAGATTCTATAAAAAAACACTTGTTCAGACCTTTGCACATTCAAAGTGCTCAGCCCATGCTGAATAATTGATGGGCTCTGCTCCCGGCAGCTCAGAGCAGACACACAGGCCTCCTGCCACACACAGGGCTGGGAACGTGGAAACCTTTCCTATCATTTTGCCCAGTGAAAGAAGGTGCCCACAAAATCACCAAGAAAGACTTGTGCTTCCCTGTTGCTGTGGGGAGAGGCCCGGGCTCCTGGGCTCCTCAGACCTGCAGATCTAATTTATGGCCTCAGGGAAAGGAGAGAAGAAAGCACAGGGCTGCTGCAGGGAGGGGGCTGCTGGGCCACCCCGGGGTCGAGGCCACAGTGTCCCCTCCAAGTCTGTGAGGTCCTGGGAAAGGGCTGCTCTGCTCTGACAAGCAGGGATAAAGGTGCCTGAGAATCCTCAAGTCCTCTGGTGGGGAGGGCTAGGGAGGGGGAGGTGCAGGGAAGGGAGAGGGGGGAAGGAGCCATGGGAAATGCGGAGTCTGAAGCTGGGGGCCCTCCTCCAGGGAGAGATGATGGAGGCAGAGACGCCCAGGAGGGGGCTGAGGCAGCCTGTTGCTGCTCCAGCCCACTGCTGCCTGTGACCACAGCACTTTTCTGGCCAAAGGCCATGGTATTGGGGATTAAGGGGTAGAAAGCAGAGACAAAGTGGCCTTTAAAGCAATTCGCAGAGATCAAAGTAGGACACAGTTCAAGCCAGTGTTCTGGCTATCAAAGTAGGGAACATTTCACAGCTGACTGAAACTCAGGGTGCCATTTCACCACTAAGGGCGCTGGGGTGCCCGTCGTCCCCTGTGGGGTGTGGCCCACCAAAGTGTCTCCAGACGGGGATGTGTCTCAGCCCCCACACAAGACTGATTTAGGAGTTTCCAGATCCAGGATAATTGGCTTCAACTTCAAATAAGCAGAATCGACAAAGTTCAGCTCAAATAGGAATTTGTTTTGATGACAGGCTTTCTATTTTGCTCTGCATTACAAGTTCCAAAGTCTCATGGTTTAGCAAGGACTTCCTAAGAAGTTTCGTGGTGTGCTCTGGGCCTGTGCAAATCACTTCACTTTCATACTCCGTTTGGGCGTGTGGACCTCTCCAGGAACTGAAGGGCCCTTAGCATTTCCCTGTGTTTGGGCAGGGCCCGTCCTCGGGAGCTGGGGATGGGGGGCAGGGGTGATTCCAGGCTGGACTGAGGCTACCTAGCAGTGTCTAGCCTGCAGCTAACTTGAGGGCAGGACAGCACCCACACTGGGCTCTGGAGGGAACAGCTGGCTCTGGCAAAACAGAAAGTGGGATGTGTGACTTTGCTCCCCGCTCGTGTCAGCTTGAGCGGCTGGGCTGCTGAGCTGCCAAGTCCATACCTCACAGAGGGTAGGACTCCGTACTGGGAGAAACAGATAGGGCAGGTTAGGGATGGGGCAGGGCTGAGTGTTGGGGGACAGGGGCTGATAGCCCAGTCCCAACACTTACTAATTCTACCACATTGGGTAATTGATTTAACCCTCTAGGCCTCAAGTTCCCCATCCATGAAATGGGGTTCATACTGGAACCTACTTCAAAGCTTTGGAAGGTCCCAATGAACTAGAGGGTACGTGAATTCTTAGTCACGTCACTAGTCACTAGTCTGACTAGTCTACTAGTCACTAGTAGGACTGTCCCCCCCCCATCCATGACAACACTTAGCTAGGCCTCTCCTTGTCCTATCAAAGGGCAGAACGGCTGCCAAACCATTCAAGTGAGCTCACATACGTCTGTGTGCTTCAGAATGCTCGGAACATCACTCTCCTGTCAGCTCAGTACTCTGGGCTGCTTGAATGGTCTTTCTTATCCTGCAACCCTGATCAGACTCCACACTCCTTGAGGGCAAGACCATTGCTTTATCTGTCACACGGTGTCTATAATTGATCTTAAAACCCTTCTGTGTGGTTTCATTAAGCTAGCTGCAACAAGGGCACATGGTGATTAGGACTCCCCCCTCCTGGCCAGCCGCCTCAGGCAGAGGGTCTACGCTCCAGGGGGACTCTGGTAGGTGCTCTGGCTGTCCTTCTCTCTGCTCCACACCGGGCATTTGATAATTAACAGAGTAAATGTTAGAAATGCAGTTTCCTCGGTGAAAACAGAGGTATTCAAGATATGTGGTTGGTGAAAATTACTTGAGACATCTTGACCTGGAAAGGCAGGGTGAAGGGATCTAGTGAGCTCTCAGGGGCGGTGTGGTCAGGACACCTAATGGGACAGATGGCTGTGACCTCACCCAGTCCAAAGAACAAGTTGCATGAATTCTGCTGGACCTGTGTGCAAATAGTTGTTCAAAAAATGTCTATAGTGGCACCTGGGTGGCTCAGTCATTAAGCATTTGCCTTTGGCTCAGGTCATGATCCCAGGGTCCTGGGATCCAGCCGCACATCGGGCGTTCTGCTCTGCGGGGAGCCTGCTTCTCCCACTCCCACTCTCCCTGCCTGTGTTCCCTCTCTCACTGTCTCTCTATCTGTGAAATAAATAAAAATCTTTTTTTTTTTTTAAAGTGTCTACATAGGGGAATGCCTGGTTGGCTCAGTTGGCTAAGCGTCTGCCTTCAGCTCAGGTTGTAATCTCCAGGTCCTGGGATTGAACCTCATGTCAGGCTCTGAGCTCAGTGGGGAGACTGCTTCTCCCTCGCTCTCTGCTGCTCCCCCTGCTTGTGCTCTCTCTCTCTCAAATAAATAAATAAAATCTTTCTTAAAAAAATGTCTACAGGAGTGCCTGGGTGGCTCAGTGGGTTAAAGCCTCTGCCTTCGGCTCAGGTCATGACCCCAGGGTCCTGGGATCGAGTCCCGTATCAGGCTCTCTGCTCAGCGGGGAGCCTGCTTCCCCCTCTCACTCTGCCTGCCTCTCTGCCTACTTGTGATCTCTGTCTGTCAAATAAGTAAATAAAATCTTAAAAAAAAAATGTCTACATATACGGCACAATGTGGTCTGAGGCTTGCTTTCATCCAACCTGCTAACGAGGTTCGCCTTTACCTTCCTCGCAGGGGTTGCCATCCAACAAATAAACAAAAACCAACCCAGCCAAACCCTAGAGTTATGACTTAAGTCAGTTAATAGAATCTCAGTGTCCCCAGGGCACCGGATATGTCAATGCTCACCGGGCTAAGGAGGTAGTGTCATTTTCCTTTCACATTGTGGGGGTGAAGGGAGGGGGAGAGTCAGGGCCCTGAGAGGCCTCCCAGGCAAGGATCCCGATCCAGGACCTGGGTAATCATCACCCTGAGAGTTCCCCAGCTGGCTTCCGGGGCTGAAGTGCCCAGTTCACTCAGAGGCTCTGTTGGTTTCCTGGAATGAGGAAATGCTACTCGGCCTTCAGTAAGCCTTGAAACTGTGGCCACAATGAAGGTCACTGTCTGGGCCCATTATGTAGCCGGAAAAGGAGCTCTGAGCTGGGCCTTCCCTTCGAGGTCTTAAGGGACAAGATATATGAGGAAGTCTTTTGGGACCCATTACTAGCTCCCACAATTAGATCAGATTCTGGGTGTGTGGGGGGCAGGTTCGGGGGGTGAATTTCTGGCCATACTGGAAAGATTATCTTGAAGAAATGGAGCTCAGGCTATACCCCTGGATAAGCTGAACCCTGGCCCCTTCCCAGGGCTCTGTAAAGGTTGCTGGGCAGGGGCCTGTGGGGAGGAGGCCCCTGATGCCGGAGAGTCGTTACTTCTCTACCCCTAAGGATGAGAACCTTCCCTGGACTGGGCAGTGCCCACAAGGAGATGGGCTGTTGCCCTATGCACTCCCTTCCCTAAGGACTTTTCCTGGTTCCTGGGTAAGCCTGTTCCATGCTTAGGGTAGGGGGTCGGAGAGCATTCAGAAGGAAAGCAGATGGTGTGGGGAGTGCAAGCCTCTAATCTCTCCTCCTGCCCACCTTCCTTCTCCTTTTCTTTCCTTTCTCTCCCAACTTCTCCAGAGAGAATTGGGGCGGGGGAAGTTCTGGGCTTTCACACACCAGGGCAACTGTCCTAACCATGGAAAAGCTGACATTTGCAGCCTTCCAAACTCATGTTGGCAAGTCCACCCTCTAGGGCAGCCCAAACTCTACAGGGTGATTGCCAAGTTCCCGACTAAACCCCTTTCCCACCTCCCATCTCATTCTCCCTGCTCCCACCCTCTCTGTAGCCCTGCCTCACACCTTCCGAGGTCAGCCTGACCACTGCTTCAGAATTTGCCTTTTCCTTCCTTTCTCCTCACCCCAATCCACGTCCCAGGGTACATTTGTGTATTGAGAGCCATCCAGGCTAATCCTAGGAGATTTCCAATTAGTAAGAACTCCCTCAACCTTATTCTATAAACCAGGGAGCAAACTGGTCAGCTTATTATTCATCTTCCAGCTTTGCAAGCAGCTCAACATCCCAGTCAAGCAAAGAGCCATGGCCAGTTACAGCATAGCTCCCAGAGGGGTCTGAAAATTCCAGATGCTCGTGTGGGACCACAGGAGCTTTCCACTAGCAAAATTTACCTAGAGAAAACCACCCGAGTGTGTGAGGAGCCTAACAAGCAGTTTCTCCCCGCCTTTGGCCTGGGGCTCTGTGGGTCTCTCTCAGCAAACAGTTAGGCACTGCCTTAATTTACTTCCCCATCAGAGTCTTGTTTTGGAGGGAGGCCAAGCTGGTAGATAAGGAAATGGGACTATTCATCTTGTGCAAATCCATGCATGTATTTGGGAGGACAAGAGAGAAACAAGTGCCTGAAAAGTTGGGGATGTCTGGTGGGCAGGGAAGAGAAGGTGGTGAGGGAGAGCCCTTCTTTACACTTGAGACAAGTGTGGTTGAAGCAAGCCAGTCCGACTGCAGAGCCTTTCAGGTTCCTGACGCAAGAGGTGGATTTCCTGTCTGCACGGGGTCCCTCAGGATGGTAACGCACAGTCCCCGGACACAGGATAAGCCCTGCCACAGAGCTCTCATTTTCTCTGGGTGCAACTGGTTTTCTCCTCCTCTCTGGACCTCTTCCCTTGGATCTCCTAAAGCAGTCTTCCTTTGAGAGCACTGTCTTACGAGTCAGGCACATGAGGCTGACTCTCCCTGCTCTTTCACTAGCTACCTGAGCCATACAGAGTTACCTAGTCTCTTGGAGTCCCATCAGCAAAATGGGGATATAGTGTCCCCTCTGGGGGCTATTGTGAGAATAAAATGACCAAAGGATGACAAGGGTTCTCAAGCAGTGCCTGCTTGGTAAATGTACTTAGAAAAGAGCTGTCATCTTTATCCACTCTAAGCACAGCTCATGGCTGCTCTACCAAACCTCTTAAAAACAGACTAGCAGAAACGAGCGGTCGTGGTCAGGCTAGAGGCGCCATGGCCACCTCGCTCTTCCTGGACAGCACTCTCACAGAGGGACAGCACTCTCCCCTCTCCACCCCTTGCCTGGTGGGCGGCAGGACCATCTCTGGGGCATCAGAAGGGAAGCTGCTTTGGAGCCCTGGCTTCCTTAGGCACTTAGGGGATTCTGCTGTTGATGGTGACCTGAGCTCATCCCACCTGGGATTCACCAGGAATGGCTGGGAGTTGATGGCAACTTAATCTGGGAGAACGTGCCTGTGAGTTTAAGAGGAGGTCATGACCCACCAACCCAGAATCAGTCTACCTTCGGACCTTCTCAGGAGGAACCACATGCCACAGAGAATGAAAACCAGACACAGACAATAAGGGATTATTTTAAAAGCAGAACATCCAACCTGACATGGTAGAGGGAGACACCTGTGCCCAAGTCAAGGACCACAGACCTTCCTGCCTTCTCTTAGTGAACCCTGGGGTGGGGTGAGGGGGCAGTCTCAAGGCTGACCTGCTCCTTCCCCTGGGGCCCTTTGGGCGGTACAGTTCCCTCTGATCACACTGGCCTCAGCCCTTCAGAACACCCAGGGCCCAAGTGCCCTGGGTCACTTCTTCTGAGTTAGGGATTGCTTCCTTGGGGCAGGACCTTGATGTCACTGTGCCTGAAGTAGGTTGGAGGGGATAGGGTGGCCTTAGAGACGACAAACAGTCTGGGAATAGACCTGGAGGGACTGAGTGGGGCTCCTCCCTCTCAGTGTACCCCAAATCTCCATCAAGATCTTAGCCATGGAAGGGGACAGCAAGGATGTGGGAGAGAGTCCAGCAGGCTGTCCCATTCCCCATGAGACAAGTGAGCCCCCAGGGACGGTGAGGCAGGATCTCGCTCTCCTGAGCGAGGGTTGCGGGGTGTTCACTCCAGGGTGCGTTGGGATCCGTGCTCGCCAGCCACTCCCCCCCCCCACCCCGTCCCCCGCCCCACCAGACTGCTCTCTGCCTGTGCCTGCTCTAGGGAGCTGCGACCCCAAGCCCCCTCCCCTGCAGCCGCCTTTGGGCCACAGCCGCACCACCCTCAGCGGGGCACCCAGCTCCAACCCCAGTCCTGGGAACGTCTCGCCCCGGTCGCGAACCCACCTTCCGAGGCGCTCCAAGGCCCTTTCCAAGGGAGTCACCTAGCCCCAGCCTTCTTCTCGGGACGTGGGCTCCGGGCGCCGCAGCCTCTGGCTCCGGCCTCTGGGCTGAGCTGGCTTCTGCCTCCCTTTCTCTCTGCTCCCGTGAATTCTCAGCACTATTCTTTTTTTTAAGGGACTTTTTTTTTTTTTTTTTTTTTTTTTTTTTGCGTTGCGTCAGGGCGGTTGCCTGGCGACGGCGGAGCTATTCCACCCTGAGCGGTTTCAGTCCGGTCTCCGCCAGCCTCTCATTCAAGCCTGTCTACCGGCCGCTCCCGGGACCTGGGACCTGGGACCTCGGGGTCCAGCCGACGGGCAGCCGGGTCCTAAAGCCCCCTAGTTGCTCTTTCCCACCAGGACCCGAACCGGAGCCGCCGCCCAGCCACAAGGAGAAGCAAATCACACACATTTGCCAAATCCTAGACGAAACCAAACCCAAATATCCCCTTTTTAAAAAATTTTATTAAATCCAAACCAAAGCAGTCTCCCCCACCCCCAAGCATGGCAACGTGGCTTTGCCACTGTCAGCAATTTGTCTGCATGGAGGGGGAAAAGAACGACCTTGCAGCGCGTGTGCGCGAGCCCAGATCCGACACCCCATTCACAGGGGGCTTGAGTTCAAATTTGCAGCAGCTCGTCCCATTACGGAGTGCCTAATATATGCCCCACCATCCCAGCGCCTCTGCAGGGAGATGTGGGCATTTTCAGCTTACAGATGAGGAAACTGAGGTTCAGAGAGACTCCGCAGAAACCAGAGGTTAAGTGGAAACAGACTTTTTCCAGATCTGTCTCCCAGAGGAGCTGGGAGTGCTTCACAGGGGCCTGCCCCCAGAGCATGTGTTTTCCCCACAAATCACGGGATGCCTTCCCCGCATGGACTTCTCTGTGCTGTGTCAACCACTGGAGATAGTTACATTAAAAGGTCCAGTCCGTGCTGTACCAGCGCCTACAGCTGCAGGAACCTACAAGTCATCCTGGACCCAGCCAGGGCTGCCCTCTCCTGGCCTTCAGCCTCAGTCCTGCCTGGACACCCAGGACTCCGGTCCAGAGCTCAAGGGCTCCACTTTCTCCTGGAACCTCTGACCCCAGGGGTGATTACTGGAAGTTCACTTCATTTTTAGGGCAGCCTGGGACATGGCCAAGATCCTTTCCTAAGACACTTGAGGTTGGCAGGATCCTTTGAAATGATCTAATCTGCCATCCTGACAACAACAGGGAGCGAGGGTGGGTGCAGAGCAGGTGTTGTTTTCCGGATGAGCAGATGTACGCAGTGAGCTGTGGGACTGCGAAGTGACTTGTCCCGGTTCAGAGGGCAGCTCTAGTAGACTGAGCCCCTTGTGCTGCCCCCTGGTGCCCTGTCCCTCACCGCAACTCCCCGTCTGGGGCCTGTCCCACTTCCTTCCTTTCTGCCTTCACTAGGATGTCTGCCCAGGGACTTTGTCTAAGGAGACATCCTGCTAATGTGAGCACCTCTTTTTGCTAACAGGTTAATGTTTCTAGCTCACAAGTGTACTTCAATGGGGATTTCTTTGAAAAAAATAATCACATTATTGACTCAAACTTGATTCTGGAAATATCGATCCAATCCTTCCACTTCTTCCCATCCCCTCTGCCACGACCCTGGCCCAAGTCACTGTCAGCCTGCCCCAGCTCCAGCACAGCCTCTTCCGGTCCGTGTTGCACCCACTCTTGCCCCTGCCCCTGAGCCAGTGACTCTCCCACAGCCAGAGCACTCTTCAAAATGGAAATCAGATCTTGGCTGCTCCCTGCTTAAAGCCCTCCAACAGCTCCCGTTCCTCCCAAGATAAGAAACCAGCATGGCCCATCAGGCCTGCGTGGTCTGGCTCTGCCCATCCCTTGGATTCCACCTTGCGTTGCTGCTCTGCTTTCCACACCGTCATTCTTCTGGGTCCTTCTCTACTCCTGCTCCTTCCTTCCACATGGGGCTGGCCACATTTCTGTCTCCTGAGGGAACCCCAGGTTATATATCCTCATAGTACTACCTATCTCTCCTTCCTGGACCAGCTGTAATTTTTATCTTCATTTGTGAAGTTATGTGATTGATTAATATCTGTCTCCCTCTAAGGCTGTCAGCTGAGTGGGACAGGAGCCATGTTTGCAGGCAGAGGGGCTTGGTCCAGATTCAGGGACTCAGGCTTTTCTTGGGCGGGGTGTACCTGGACACAGGGGCCTGTGCTGAATTCTGAGTATTTGCCCTCCTTTGGTCCAGTGTGTTCTGGTCCCAGTGTGGAAAGTGCTCCAATGTCTTCTTCCTGGAGATTTCCCACCCCATCTGGAAACGCCTCCTATAACCTTTACCCCCCTAACCCCTCACTTGGCATGAGGTTCCTGTTTTGCTTTCTGAAGAGTGCACTGTCTTCTGTCTTCACGTGGACAGGCCGGGGCAGGGATCGGGTCTTACTCTGAGCCTCCCATTCAGCCTGGCATATGCCTGGGCAGGAGGGTGGTCGGCGATGAAAGACTGGGAGAGTCAGAGAGGAAGGTGAAGAAGAGGAGAAGGAACCAAGTTTCTGCTGGAACAGTCTCAGCCTAATATCTAACCCTACACTGCGATCAAATGAGTTATGTTTAGACCTCTAGCATAGGGCAGTATGTAGTCCTACAAATATTTTCAAAAAATATTTGATGATGTAGGAAAATGCTACTGATTTCATGCCAAGTAAATAGGGCAGGGATACCAAACATCTATGTAAACAAGACATTATGAAAGCTTTAATTCTAATATCTAATGTCTAATTTTTTTATATGTGGTAAAAAAAAGATTAGGAGGGTATATGCATATATGAGCTGCAGTTATCTCTGGGTGGTAGACTAGCAGGATTTAAAAACCTTCTATAGACTTGCATTAATTTTCTGTGTTTCCTACAGTGACTAGTTTTTGTGAGTAGCAACATCAGGAAACACCACTACAAACTAAAACTGGCCTTGTGTTTGGGGTACCTGTGTCACCTACTTTCTACAGCCTTTTATGCCTTTTATGGGGGCTGCTGTGAGGTCTGGCTGGAGTCTGGTGATGGGTGAGGATCCCCATGGCCCAGAGTGGTGGGGCCATCTGGGGGCTCTTCCCCGCAGTTGGCCGTGTGGACCAGGGAACACTGGGCCAAACCTGCAGGAGTAAGTAGGACAGCACACTGGTGCTAGGGCTGCCTTTTGGGTCGGTCCAGTTGTCCAATTTGACTTTCCAGGGGCAAGACATGATGATCTAGGAGATGGCCGTCCCGGGTGTCAGGAGCATGTTAGTGAGCGCGAATGCTAGCCGACAGCAGCCTCACTGACGTGAGCCCAGCTCTTGACGGGTGACAGAGTGGGTTCCTTTCTAGCAGTCCTAAGAGGAGTGGGACAATGTCTTTTTTGTTCCTACAGAAATTCTGTAGGGGTCAAGAAACATTCTCCCTCCTAGCTCTAAGGGTGCCACACCTGGAGAGGTTAGGGGACTTACTCTGAGTCACACAGCTAGTAGTGTCAGGGCTCCCAGAACTGTCGGACCCAGAGTCTAGGGCACAGCCTGTTCCTGCCCTCTGATCCTACAGTCCCTGTGAGCAACGGGCCAGGCAGCCTCAGTGACCACAATGTGCTCGACCCATGCATGGCAGGCAGGGATGACCTCGTCAAAGATTAGAGCAAAGATTTGAAGGAGATGAGGGACCTGGCAGACTCTGGTAAGGCCTCTCCTTCCTCCCAAGGCGAGCACAGGATACCCAGCTCAACCCTCCCACATGGCAAACCTTTATCAAAATTCATCTCATTTGTGCCCACTGGCGTTTCTAAGCTACTCAAGGGCAAACTCCATTGTCTAAGGCTCCTGAGTATCCCTCAATGGTGATTCAGGTTTGGTCCCCATTCACTGAATGAGAGAAGGAAGGAAGAAATTTCTGTTTGGCCTGATTGTATGGTGGTGACACCCTCTCCTGCCCCAGGGAGCAATTAGGACTTGTAGTCCTGGGCCAGAGTCCGCTAGCTCCCACCTGCTGCCTTTAGGGGAGACTGTTCCATCAGGGGGCCCAGTGTGTCAAGAGGATCCAGGAAGTGTTGGTCATTTGGCACCGATCTCGCAACAGTAATGGCTCTCTTCTGCTCTTATCTCTCAGAAGGGGTTAATTCAGGCTGAACACAGAAGGGAGACCGGGGTTGGGGGTAGCGTCCCCTCTTATAGGGACCTCATTAGTTCAAAGAGCATTTGTGAGCGGCTCACTCTGTCACCGGGTGCTAGGCATTGGGGCGTGATGCCTGCAGCTGCTGAGTGCAGGGAGTTAATTAACAAAGCATTGACCTTAGAACTGGAGTGAGGGAGGCAATGGGTGCCCTCTAAGCCCAGATGAGGAGGATAAGTGGGAGCTGGTTAGGAGAGGTTTGGGGGAGGCCTGAGGTAGAGGGCAGAAGAGGGACTAGTGTGTGCAGGACCGAAATGCACTTGAGCAGACTACAAGAGGGTATGATGGGCCCACATTAGGCCCCTGGACATGGTCCAGAAGGCAGGGAGTTAAGAAGGGAGTGTGTCATGGCTTTCATATCTCAGAGAGGCCTAGTGGATGTGGGGGTCAGACAGGAAGCAGGGTGGCCACTAAAGAGATTGTTTCCATTTTACTGGGGGTGAGAGGCCATAGAAGTCCAGCCCCATGGCAGGGAGAAGCTCACAGCATTTCCCGGGTGAGGATGGGTGATGGGGGAAGTAGCATGGTGAAGGGGGACAGCAGGTGTCTGGAGGCAGGCAGACTCAGGTCCAAGTCCTAGCTCTTCTGGTTGCTGGTTGGTGTATGCCTGTAAAAAGTCACTTGAGTTTTCTGAGCTGCAATTACTTCATCTATAAAATGGAAATCCTTTAATAATACTGTCCTTATAATGGGGAAGAGGACCTGCCTTGGATTCCACACTTCCATTTATTTATTTATGTATTTAAAAAGATTTTATTTATTTATTTGAGAGAGAGTGAGTTGAGCATAAGTTGGGGAGGAGCAGAGGGAGAGGGAGAAGCAGCCTTCCCGCTGAGCAGGACCCCGCTGCGAGGCTCAACCCCAGGACTCCAGGATCATGACCTGAGCCAAAGGCAGACACTTAACTAGCTGAGCCACCCAGGCACCCTGGATCCCACACTTTACAGACCCTTGCTCTGGGCCTCCTTCCGGTAAGGTGGCCATGCCTACTCAAGGTCCACACCTTCCCTTCTACTCCAAGCTGTAAGTATCCAGGACCCAGGAATTTCCTGCCCTCATTTTGGCC